CCCCAACAAAGTCAAAAAACGATTGAACAGTTATGTAAGAAATCTTGCAGTTTTGATAGAAATATTTTTAAAAAAAACTGGGAGGAGGAAAGCAAGGGCAAAGCAGCTTTCTGGGGGCCAATCCATTTCTGGGGGCCAGAAAAAAAGGAAGGTCCCTAAAAACGTCAAAAAACGATTGAACAGCTATGGAAGAAATCTTGATGTTTTAATAGAATTTTTTTTAAATAACTGGGAATGGGCAAGCAAGGACAAAGAAACTTTCTGGGGGCCATTCCATTTCTGGGGGCCGGAAAAAAAGAAAGATCAAAAACAAAGTCAAAAAACGATTGAACAGCTATGGAAAAAAATCTTGATGTTTTTAAAGAAAAATTGATTTAAAAACTTGGAGGGGGCTAGCATGGGCAAAGAAATATTTTTTGGGGCCCATTCCAGTTATGGGGGCCAGAACAAAAAGAAAAATCCCAAAAAAGTCAAAAAACGATTGAACAGCTATGGAAGAAATCTTGAAGTTTAGATAGAATTTTTTTTATAAAAACTGGGAGGGGCAAGCAAAGGCAAAGCAACTTTCTTTGGGCCATTCCATTCCTATGGGCCCAAAAAAAGAAAGATTCCCAACAAAGTCAAATAACAATTGAACAGCTATGTAAGAAATCTTGAAGTTTTGATAGAAAAATTTTTAAAAAAAACTGGGAGGGGCAAGCAAAGGCAAAGAAACTTTCTGGGGGCCATTCAATTTCTGGGGGCTAGAAAAAGAGAAAGATCCCTTAAAAATGCTCAAAAACGATTGAACAGCTATGAAAGAAATCTTGAAGACTATTCCATTCCTGGGGGCCAGAAAAAAGAAAGAACCCTAACAAACTTAAAAAACGATTGAACAGCTATGGAACAAATCTTGAGGTTTTAATAGAAATTTTTTTAAAAAACTGGGAGGGAGCAAGCAAGGGCAAAGAAACTTTTTGGGGGCTATTCCATTCCTGGGGGCCAGAAAAAAGGAAAGATCCCTAACAAAGTCAAAAAAAGATTGAACAGCTATGGAAGGAATCTTGATTTTTTAATAGAAATGTTTTTTAAGAAACTGGGAAGGAGCAATTAAGGGCAAGGAAACTTTCTGGGGCACATTCCATTTCTGGGGGCCAGAAAAAAGGAAGGTCCCTGAAAATGTCAAAAAACGACTGAACAGCTATGGAAGAAATCTTGAAGTTTAAATAGAAATTTTTTTTATAAAAACTGGAAGGGGCAAGCATAGGCAAAGAAACTTTCTAGGGACCATTCCATTTCTGGGGGCCAGAAAAAGAGAAAGATCCCTAAAAAATGATCAAAAACGATTGAACAGCTATGAAAGAAATCTTGAAGACTATTCCATTCCTGGGGGCCAGAAAAGAAGAAAGATCCCTAACAAAGTTAAAAAACGATTGATCAGCTATCGAACGAATCTTGAGGTTTTAATAGAAATTTTTTTTAAAAAAACTGGCAGGGAGCAAGCAAGGGCAAAGAAACTTTTTTGGGGCCATTCCATTCCTGGGGGCCAGAAAAAAAGAACGATCCATAAAAAAGATCGAAAAACGATTGAGCAGCTAAGAAAGAAATCTTAAAGTTTCAATAGAAATGTTTTTTAAAAAACTTGGAGGGAGCAAGAAAGGGCAAAGAAACTTTCTGGGGGCCAGAAAAAAAGAAAGATCCCTACCAAAGTCAAAAAACAATTGAGCAACTATGGAAGAAATCTTAATGTTTAAATAGAATTTTTTTTAAAAAACTGGGATGGGGCAAGCAAAGGCAAAGAAACTTTTTTTGGGCCAATCCATTCCTATGGGCCAGAAAAAAAGAAAGATCCCCAACAAAGTCAAAAAACGATTGAACAGTTATGTAAGAAATCTTGAAGTTTTGATAGAAAAATATTTAAAAAAAACTGGGAGGGGGCAAGCAAGGGCAAAGAAACTTCTTTTGGGCCATTCCATTCCTATGGGCCAGAAAAAAAAAAGATCCCCAACAAAGTGAAAAAACGATTGAACAGCTATGTAAGAAATCTTGAAGTTTTGATAGGAAAATATTTAAAAAAAACTGGGAGGGGGCAAGCAAGGGCAAAGAAACTTCTTTTGGGCCATTCCATTCCTATGGGCCAGAAAAAAAAAGATCCCCAACAAAGTGAAAAAACGATTGAACAGCTATGTAAGAAATCTTGAAGTTTTGATAGGAAAATTTTTAAAAAAAACTGGGAGGGGGCAACCAAGGGCAAAAAAAATTTCTGGGGGCCATTCCATTCCTGGGGGCCAGAAAAAAAGGAAAGATCCCAAACAAATTCAAAAAACGATTGAACAGCTATAGAAGAAAGCTTGATGTTTTAATAGATTTTTTTTTTAAATAACTGGGAAGGGGCAAGCAAGGACAAAAAAACTTTCTGGGGTCCATTCCAATTCTGGGGGCAAGAAGAAAAAAATCAAAAACAAAGTCAAAGAACTATTGAACGACTATGGAAAAAAATCTTGATGTTTTAAAAGAAAAATTTTTTAAAAACTTGGAGGGAGCAAGCAAGGGCAAAGGAATTTTTTGGGGGCCATTCCAGTTATGGGGGCCAGAACAAAAAGAAAAATCCCAAAAAAAGTCGAAAAACGATTGAACAGCTAAGGAAGAAATCTTGATGCTTTAATAGAAATTTTTTTTAATTAACTGGGAAGGGGCAAGCAAGGACAAAGAAACTTTTTGGGGGCAATTCCATTCCTGGGGGCCAGAAAAAAAGAAAGATCCCTAGCAAAGTCAAAAAACGATTGAACAGCTATGAAAGGAATCTTGATGTTTTAATAGATATGTTTTTTAAAAAACTGGGAGGGGGCAAGCAAGGGCAATGAAGTCTTCTGGGGGCCATTCAATTTCTGGGGCCAGAAAAAAAAAGATCCCAAACAAAGTCAAAAAACCATAGAACAGCTATGGAAGAAATCTTGATGTTTAATAGAATATTAATTTAAGAAACTGGGAGGGGGCAAGCAAGGGCAAACAAAAATTCTGGGGGCCATTCAATTTCTGGGGCCAGAAAAAAAAAGATCCCAAACAAAGTCAAAAAACCATAGAACAGCTATGGAAGAAATCTTGATGTTTAATAGAATATTAATTTAAGAAACTGGGAGGGGGCAAGCAAGGGCAAACAAAAATTCTGGGGGCCATTCCATTTCTGGGGGCCAGAAAAAAAGGAAGGTCCCTAAAAACGTCAAAAAACGATTGAACAGCTATGGAAGAAATCTTGATGTTTTAATAGAAATTTTTTTAAATAACTGGGAAGGGGCAAGCAAGGATAAAAAACTTTCTGGGGGCCATTCCATTTCTGGGGGCTGGAAAGAAAAATCAAAACAAAGTCAAAAAACGATTGAACAGCTATGGAAAAAATCTTGATGTTTTAAAAGAAAAATTTTTAAAAAACTTGGAGGGGGCAAGCAAAGGCAAAGAAATTTTTTGGGGGCCATTCCAGTTATGGGGGCCAGAACAAAAAGAAAAATCTCAAAATAAGTCAAAAAACGATTGAACAGCTATGGAAGAAATTTTGAAGTTTAAATAGAAATTTTTTTTATAAAAACTGGGAGGCGCAAGCAAAGGCATTGAAACTTTCTGGGGGCCATTCCATTTCTGGGGGCAAGAAAAAAAAGAAAGATCCCTTAAAAATGATCAAAAAACGATTGAACAGCTATAGAAGAAAGCTTGATGTTTTCATGGAAATTTTTTTTAAAAACTAGGAGGGGGCAAGCAAGGGAAAAGCAGCTTTCTGGGGGCCATTCCATTTCTTGGGGCCAGAAAAAAAGGAAGGTCCTTAAAAACGTCAAAAAACGATTGAACAGCTATGGAAGAAATCTTGATGTTTTGATAGAAATTTTTTTTAAATAACTGGGAAGGGACAAGCAAGGACAAAAAAACTTTCTGAGGGCCATTACATTTCTGGGGGCCGGAAAAAAAGTCAAAAACAAAGTCAAAAAACGATTGAACAGCTATGGAAAAAAAACTTGATGTTTTAAAAGAATTGTTTTCTAAAAAACTGGGAGGGGGCAAGCAAGTGCAATGAAACTTTCTGGGGGTCATTCCATTTCTGGGGGCCAGAAAAAAAAGAAAGATCCCAAACAAAGTAAAAAACGATTGAACAGCTATGGAAGGAATCTTGATCTTTAATAGAAATTTTTTTTAAGAAACTTGGAGGGAATAATCAAGGGCAAAGAAGCTTTCTGGGGTCCATTCCATTTCTGGGGGCAAGAGAAAAAAGTAAGATCCCAAATAAAGTCAAATAACGATTGAACAGCTATGGGAGAAATCTGCATGTTTTAATACAGAACTTTTCTAAAACACTGGCAGGGGGCAAGCAAGGGCAAAGAAACTTTCCGGGGTTCATTCCATTTCTGGGGACCAGAAAAAAAGAAAGATCCCTAAAAAAGTCAAAAAACGATTGAATAGCTTTGGAAGAAATCTTGATGTTTTAATAGAAAAATTTTTTAAAAAACTTTGAGGGGGCAAAGAAGGGCTAAGAAACTTTATGGGGGCCATTCCATTTCTAGGGGCTAGAAAAAAAGAGAGATCCATAACATAGTGAAAAAACGACTGAACAGCTATCGGAGAAATCTTGCTGTTTTAAGAGACATTTTTTTTAAAAAAATTTGGAGGGGTTACGAAAAAGAAAATAAACTTTCTGGGCGCCATTCCATTTCTGCGGGCCAGAAAAAAAACAAAGATCACTAACAAAGTCAAAAAACGATTGAACAGCTATGGAAGAAATATTGATGTTTTAATAGAATTTTTTTTACAAAACTTGGAGGGGCAAGCAGGGGCAGGGAATCTTTCTGGGGTCCATTCCATTTCTGGGCGCCAGAAAAAAAAAAATCTCTAAAAATGTCAAAAAACGATTGAATAGCTTTGGAAGGAATCTTGATGTTTTAATAGAAAATTTTTCTAAAAAACTTTGAGGGGGCAAAGAAGGGCTAAGAAACTTTATGGGGGCCATTCCATTTCTAGGGGCTAGAAAAAAAGAGAGATCCATAACATAGTGAAAAAACGATTGAACAGCTATGGAAGAAATCTTGATGTTTTAATACAGAATTTTTCTAAAAAACTGGGAGGGGGCAAGCAAGGGCAAATAACATTTCCGGGGTCAATTCCATTTCTGGGGGCTAGAAAAAAAGAGAGATCCCTAACATAGTCAAAAAACGATTGAACAGTTATGGGAGAAATCTTGATGTTTTAAAAGAACCTTTTTTTAAAAAACTGGGAGGAGGCATGCACAGCAAAGAAACTTTCTGGCTGCCAAAAAAAAGAAATATCCCTAACAAAGTCGAAAAACGATTGAACAGCTATGGAAGAAATCTTGTTGTTTTAATAGAATTTTTTTTACAAAACTGGGAGGGGCAAGCAGGGGCAGAGAACCTTTCTGGGTTCCATTCCATTTCTGGGGGCAAGAAAAAAAAGAAAGATCTCTAAAAAAGTCAAAAAACGATTGAACAGCTATGGAAGAAATCTTGATGTTTTAATAGAAATATTTTTGTAAAACTGGGAGGGACAAGGAAGGGCAAAGAACATTTCGGGGGGTTATTCTATTTCTGGGGGCTAGAAAAAAAGAGAGATCCCTAACATAGTCAAAAAACGATTGAAAAGCTATGGGAGAAATCTTGATGTTTTAAAAGAACCTTTTTTTAAAAAACTGGGAGGAGGCATGCACAGCAAAGAAACTTTCTGGCGGCCAAAAAAAAGAAATATCCCTAACAAAGTCGAAAAACGATTGAACAGCTATGAAAGAAATCTTGATGTTTTAATAGAAAGATTTTTGTAAAACTGGGAGGGGCAAGGAGGGGCAAAGAACCTTTAGGGGGGTTATTCTATTTCTGGGGGCCAGAAAAATAGAAAGATCTCTAAAAAAGTCAAAAAAAGATTGAACAGCTATGGGAGAAATCTTGATGTTTTAAAAGAAACTTTTTTTAAAAAACTGGGAAGAGGCAAGCACGGCAAAGAAACTTTCTGGCGGCCAATAAAAAAAGAAATATCCCTAACAAAGTCGAAAAACGATTGAACAGCTATGAAGGAAATCTTGATGTTTAAATAGAAATATTTTTGTAAAACTGGGAGGGGCAAGGAGGGGCAAAGAACCTTTCGGGGGGTTATTCTATTTCTGGGGGCCAGAAAAAAAAGAAAGATCCCTAACGAAGTCAACAAACGATTGAACAGCTATGGAAGAAATCTCGATGTTTAAATAGAAATTTTTTTTATAAAACTGGGAGGGGGCAAGCAAGGGCAAAGAAACTTTCTGGGGGTTATTCTATTAAACCGTGTGGCTCAGGTCCGCGTATTACGAGGTCTGGGACCTAGCTCCTTGACCATGTTGTGACGAAAGTCAGGAATGCACCTTCTGCGCAAGCACGCAAACATATAACAACAAGGGACTTTCTGAACGTTCACAAAGTTTGAGAGCAGCATAGAATCTGGCGGAACATCTGTCTACTCATTTGAAATTGATGAAGAGACTTCAGCAGCTATTTTAAATGGTGATGAAGATGTCAACAAAGTTGCGTTAGGCTTAGGCCCGGAAAACATGGCGTCTTGTGTTGAAGATCCAGTGGCAGATGAAGAATATGCAAGGATATATTTACAGAAGCGTAAAGAATACGAAGAGATAAAGAAGAAACTTGGCCGTAGACTCGATGGATCAGCTGAGGTTCAAAAATGGTAGATGACTTGACATTGATATGCAATAAGGGGGCCTTCCAGGTTGTAATTCGTTTTTCTAAGACGGAAACTAGCCAGTAAATAATAAATTCTAGACAAAAGCTTGATGGCTTGATGGACACATCTACGCTGGAGAGATCTCTAGCGTAACAGACCTGGATTTAAACATGGACATAAAGTTTATAAAGCTCAGGACTTAATCTAAAATTTACGCTGTTCAAACTCTCTTCTAGCTTCTGCATCTCTATCGAAGCCTATTCACTTTAATTTTTGTTACTGAAAAACTTATCCTAAAAAGTTGTAACCAATTTTATAGAAACCTTTTATTTAACTTTTGTTGGTTTTCTGCTAGAAAAAAATGAAATAACCTTTTTAGCCTAAACGATTTCTCATCAAATCTTATATTTTAACTTTCAACAAATCTAATGTGATCTTTATAGGTGTAAATGTGGTAAATGTTCTATGGAACACATTCACAACTGGCAAGAGTGTCTTTGCTGTACAGAATTAGAAGGATGCATGCAGTCTTTAGAGTCTGAAGAGGTTAAGGCTGTCTTGGAGGTTGATGCTCATTGTATCACAGAGCACCCCGGCTTCACAGATGTCTGCCTTAGAAAGTAGAGTCTTTGTTTGGCAGCGGACTAATACAAAGACAGAAGAGGCAAAAAATATGACAAATCCGGTGAAGAATTAAAGTCAGTATCTAAACTAATTTAAACTGAAACAATCCATTCCAAAAGTCAATAAAACTAATATTTTAGCCCCATATATTTCTAATGGATAAACGAGAGAAACAGGACTTCATTTAAAAAAATGTGTAAGCTCTGTAAAAATTTTAAAAAAATGGTTGATTTCTGTAAATTTCTAACAAGTTTACATGATTTTCTAATTATTTCTTGATAAGCTTGTCAATTTTTGTTCTACTCTTCTATTACAGATTGCTGAGAAGTGTGTCCTACAGAGAATTCAGAAGACTGATATATGGGATTTTAGGAGACAGACCAATACCATTGCCTGAGTGTTTGTATTATGCCATTAGAAAAACTTTTCCAAGCAGCAATGGAAACAAGGGATATGCTGATGAACCATAATATAAATAAAAGACCTTATATGTTTTTATTTTTTGTATATAGTTTCTTTCATTTTCAGCACTGCAATGTCTAACTTTTGGCTCCGGCTCAGCTTCTAAGGTGTCTGGATCTACATTTAAGATAATATTTGTTAGAAAGTGGTAAAAATATAAGCAAAAACAATACAACAAGAGATTTTGTTTTATTTTACTGTGCCACAGAAGGCATACAATATCACCCTGTCAGTTGATCTGTATGTTGGTTGCTATGTGATTCACAGATTTTTAGGCTAAAACAATGCATCATATTATTTGCCAGACGTTAGTCTGAGATCTTGCAACTAATAATTAAAACTGAGCACTTGACATGACTTTGATGCTCACCATTTGTTGGAGGTACATCTAATGTCACCATTGCCTTTCTTTCAGCTTGTTTAATAATGGCCTCCTCTCTTGGTTGCTTGGTCAACATCGTGTTAATTGGTGCAGGGGCCTGATCTTCTAGGGTCTTTTGTGCAATCCTCAATTCATTTGGCTCTAACTTTGTTAACAGCTCATATATTTCTTCTATGTAATCTGAAATGAACAAATAATTTCACATGTCAATGTTGAACACAAAACGTTGTGTTATAGAAAATGTAACTTTTGTTGTGTTATATAAAAACCCAACTAGCTGAGTGTTAAAACCAGAAAGATTTGATAAATTTGTTAACACAATAATAAACAAATGTTTTGTAAAAAAAAAGTTTAATAAATATATGACCAAGTACATGGTTCACTATATAGCTATACAGGAGGGATTAAAAATGTTATAAGAACATACCAAAATTCTGTGGTTCTCTAACATCTTTGATAGAAGCCTCACCATTTTGGAATTTGGGGTAAAATATGTTGATTTGCCTTTCCCCATCTGCATTCAATTTAACAGCTCTGAGGATATTTGCGTTAAAATGAACTTCAGTTAAAGCTGCTCTGTGAAATGAAATGACAAAACTAGATCAACTCACTCAATTTCAACGATATCTCAATTCACAATTCTAAAATTTGAATTCTTTAAGAAATGGAGAAAACCAGAATTATTCTTTTTCTTAAATTCTTGCCAAAGAAGGTGTCAAAAGTCTGTCAAAAGTCTTATTATAGACAAAGAGTTAAACACCATATCAATCATCTATGCCTACTACAATTATCAACTTTTTACCTGCAAAATATTCCACTATGAGAATATGCTACCATTTTTGGGGCAAAGTGATTGACAACAGAATGGTAACCTTCAAGGCAGCTTGTTTGTGCAAGGGGGGAACCTCCTTTTATCCCATTCAACAATCTTTTGTCGAGAAGAGCTTTTCTTATTTTCTCATATTCCTTTGAGTCTGTTAAAAGAAAATGAAATGAAAAAGTTTAGCAAATCTGTCTAAATTACCAAGAATCTATACTGGACAAGCTTGAAATAACTTTTTTAGATATTGCTATGCTGAGTTTAACACACTTGCTAATCATTAGACAACTAGATTGATGAAACACAAACATTCAAATTATTAATTTTGTATTCAATCGTTATAATATAAAATGAAAAATATAAAAAAAATAATCAAAAAAATTGTGATATAGCCTCTTTTACTTTGGTACTTTTTTCAGTCTTTGTAACTGTAAGAAGAAAACGGTCATTTACCTTCCATAAGCCATTTCTAAGGTCCAAGTGTATCATGAACACAGGCATTGAATATTGGATTATCAAAATTTTCATGCTTGTCCAGAATGTGATGCAGGAATGCTTTGAATTTTGCTAAAATGACCCTGCCATCACCATTGCTTGTTGTTGTTGCTAACCAAAACAAGTGGTTTTCGCATGGCCTTATCCACTCTTTTACAATATCCATACCTTTCTCCTTTCCTATTTTGATTAGAACTTTGCGTATTTCTAGTGATAAAGGAAAGGCAATTTTATAATTGATGCAATAGGAAATACAGCAGTGGTTCATAGCTATGTGTTTCAAGAACTTAAAATAAGAATTTGTCAACTTTATATTTGTTTTTTTGAATGACATTTTTAGCTGTTAATAAATCTTTAAGGTGTCGTCCTCAGAAAAGCTCTTTTATATTTATATGAAGCTATGAATGCTAAATGAAACAAAATATTTGGTATTTTGACTTTATATTGAAAAGAATTCATACATACTTTTTTTATATTCCAAATGTCATAGTAATGCTTTACTTCCTTGTAGTTCTCTCTGACATATTTTGTAACTGCAACATGCCTGTCAGTCACCAATGTTTCAACAGCAAGCTTTTGATTATCAACAAGGTTTTCGAGGCACTTTTTAAAACCATACAGCTCCATAGCATTGCTCCTCCCTGCCTCATTTTTCTACAGTAAAATACAATAAAAATATATAAAGAAGCAATTGTGTTGCAATATTACCAGCATTGAGACAGTTTTATTTACAATTCAAAATTTGAACAAAACATTCAAAGCATGCTCATGTTTAACAGGGCATGTTTGATATAAAGTTTAGATCTTCTGGAGCTTCAAATCAGTACACTGGGAGAGTTTATCTAATAAAAAAATGTCTAAACATGGTTCAATGAAATAATTTTCAGAACACATATAAATTTGCATCATATTTACCTGAACAAGCTGAAAGTCGATCACTTTTGAAAGGTGACAGGAAAACATGGAATAAACTCCATTCTTGGCACTGTGTCCCATACTGTCATGCCTGGCATCACCTGCAATTGCTAGCTTTTTGTTTTTCAGGCTGGCATATATTTTTTCTTGGTAATTTTTCCAATAAATGAATATGGCTGGAAATAGTCTAACCTGAAACAGGAAGAAGAGAAAAATTATATAGTTGTTAGGTATCATTTAGGTTACCCAATTCTGCAACCAGTACACTACTCAAAATTGTATAAACAGGATTTTCATTATTTTGAAAACCAAGTTTCAGGAGTAAATATTAAAGAAATTAAAATACAAGCCTTGCCTAAAGAACTAAAATTCTTGTCATTACTTTGAAAATGATATATATCAAAGATAACATTGATGCTGAATTACATTGAATCAAAGATTGGAGTCTGTGTCATCTTGAGTAAACTTCTACTATTTTGATTGCACTGTACATCACCTATGTCCTTTACCTTTACCTTTGGGCATCAAGTACTGTCATGCTAGACCAGGAAATGCTTACAAAGGTATGGAAAGAAGAAATACATGATCTGTAGGATTTAAAGGGGAATAACTTTTCAGATATACAAGAGAAATTAAAGAGAAAAAATATATTACCTTTTAGTGCTTAAAATATGTTTTAAGTGATACACATGCTAAACCCATTGCACCAAATATTTTTTTAACTTTCATTATTGATGCACCTGACAATAATGTCGCCATACATAAAAGGAAATTTCCTGCTGGTGTCTTCAACTTTGGCATTAATGGTTGACTCTTCCAGGTGAAATGCTTTCCACAATGACCACATATACTTGTAATAATCACCATTGTCCCAACTTTTTTGACCTCAACCATTAACTCTTCGAAGCTGGCGTGGTTTATGACACCAAGAGTTGTTGGGTTGTTGAAGATACGGGCTCATATTTATACACTTATGGAATAGGGGGGGGGGGGTTTAATGGAGATAGGAAATATCAAGTTCAATGTTGACATTAACTGCAAAAGATATTGAAATGTGGGATGTCTTTATGCTGTTGGTATACGTAGAGGGGATGTTTTTGTGCTGCTAATCTTATTAGTAACTTATATATTTATATTTTACTTTTTTATATTTGCTCTTGTATATAATTAATTGTATCTCGTTTTGTTGGCAGTTCAATGGTTTCCTCGGGATTTGAAAATTTTAGCTTATTGTCTTCAGGTCATACACCCCAAACTTTGACAATAAGCAAAAGAATTAACAGGCCACCCTCTTGCGCAGAAGAAATTTGGCCTATTACCTTATGTAAATCAAAATTTAAACCACAATTTGCGAGTTTTAACCCATTAGTTATAACTGGGTATATTCAATGCAACTTTATTAACATAATTAAATCAAATCTTCGCGTTTTACTTTATTCATTTGTCGTTTGTGGTCTACTATATTTGGAGCAGCTTTTTTGAAGCTCTCATCAGTATTAAGCTCTGGTGGCCAAAAAAGACGGAGTGATTTAGATATGGTGAGCAGAAACTGCGCTGTGGTTTGATGTATGAACAGTAACTACAAATTGAGAAAGTGGAAGAAAGAAGCTTGTGAGGAATACAATCGCCAGTCTCACGAAGAATGTCCCTGTGAACAACCCTTTTGGCTTCATAAGTTTCCAAGCGTTTTGAAAAATTTGGAAACGAGGAAGGTATGGATACGTTTGATGCAGAAAACAACAAAGAGGAACAAGGCATAGGTTCCTGGAGAAAGTGACATGGTATGTTCTGAACATATTGCCGATTGCATGAAATTGGTCTACAAACAACCACCCAAAAACGCAAGAAGAGTTCTCCTTTGCAAAGATATACCACCTGCTAACCAAGTGGATGACTGGCCTATACTTGCTGAAACAGATGATGAGCAAACATCCACTACAGGTAATACAGTTGCTGTTATTGAAAAAAGAGACAATGTCTCGTTAAAGGAAGAGCACAGCCATACCAAAGAAGAATGTCCTAATTGTAAAAAGAAAAGTGCTCTAATAATGTCTCTACTAAATGGCATTAAGCCCCTAACATAGAAAGGGATCAACTGAAAGAAGAAGTTGACCATTTCTCTTAAAAGATCGTGGGAGGTGTCAGTGAAGCAAGAGAAGAAGCAATTGTTTTTTTGGGTAAATATAAAGTCAGATGCTAAAATAAAACTTTATACTGGCATTCAAACAGTAGCTTTATTCAATATCCTATTTTTTGTTGATAAAGCCCTGTTTGCCAAATTTTGTGTATTGGAGAGGGAAGCACAAGATATGTCAACAAAGCACAAGAAAACAGCCATCAAAATATCACCCAAGCTTCATGAGAAAAACCAGTTTTCATTGGTTTTCATGCATTCGAGGTTAGACTGCTGAATAAGGACTTAGCTGACAGATTTCGTATTTCACGGGCGACATGGTCCAGTATTTTCACAACCCGGATGAGACTTTTGTCTTCACTCCTTTGAGATGCCCTTGTGAGATGGTTACCAAGAGAAATTGGGAATTCAGATTTGCCAAGTATGTTCAGAGAGAGGTATTGAAAGACAAGGTGCATTATAGAGTGCTCTGAAGTGTGGACTAAGCGACCAAAATCACTTGATGAACAAGCTGCAACATGGTTAGACTATAAGAAGCATAACACCTTCAAGTTCCTGATAGCAATTTCACCAAATGGCTTTATCGTGTTTTTGTCAGACTGTTATGGTGGCAGAACTACTCACCAGTTTATCTGCAAGGACAGTAATATGTATAACTTATTTGAACTAGGTGATGAAATCACGGCAGACCTTGGCTTCCAAATTAAGGAAGACCTGCTTCTGTATTATTGCTCCTTAAGTGTGCCACCAGGGGCAAGGGTCAAGGCACAGATGACCAGTTTTTTCCCAGTAAGTGAAAAATTTCCTTTTATGGAATATTTCAATTGATAACTGACTGTACAATTTGTATCAGAACAGTCAGCTGAATAAAAGTATGATGAATCAGTGCGAAAATGATTCCAGGTGCATTTTGAAGCACAGGGTTGGGAAGAAGGGTTCGAAGAAAACACTGGACCTGTTTCTCAAATAAGATTCTTGATTTTGGACGCAATTTCGATTGTGAGTATATGGTTATTCCTATTTTATTTCTCTGTACCTTGGCCTTACTTGACTGCCATTTTTCTAGCAAAACATCCTGCCCTTACTACAACATTGAATTTACAGCCTGTTTTCTTCCTATTTTTGCAGGGAAGTTTCGAAAAGCCCTGCCCACATGATTTGAAAACCTTTGCTCAACCGATTATTCATCAGGTTTTGTTTTCAGTGTTACTTTGAAGCCTTTTTATTTATCTACCTTTCAATATAGAGATATTTTGTTATTTATCAACTTGAAGCACGAATTCTCACATAATTGCAACATTGAGATGCAAGAAATTCAAAAATTTTAGGACAGGTTTGCCTGAGTTGCAAATGGCGATCAAGCTACGCCCCCTTTGTGTTGTTACCCCATTGTTAGCAAGATTGTTGCTGTAGTCCAAACAAAGAAGTCACAAACTTTAGTATTTGTGAGGGCCATCTGTGCTTGTACTTGATGGTAATATTGATGACTCCTTTTCAACTGTAGTCCCTTTTTTGTTACTTCTAGAAAAGAATCCTTGGGAGATCTTTCAAAGTGTCATTGCAAAGTTTGAACAAACATTTTATTTCCAGGCAACGTGGCAGACATCCATGACATGAGCATTCAACCAATCCATCAGGTGTAGCTCCTAGATAGGGGCTTTCACTGCTTAAAAAAGACCACACTTTTTCAAAGCGAGGGAATCATGTTCTTTGGACTGCAGCTTTATAAATACTTGCCGAGCAGCTTCGTCATCAGGGCAATTTTTAAGGATTTTTGAGTGGTGGGGCATTTCAGGCAAGGGCCCACACTTATACAATACCAGAAATGACGTAGGAAATGACACAGAAGTCTTCGGATTGACACTTTAGATTGTTATATATACTGAGCTATTTTAGGGTTGAGACTTTTGCCTCCAATATATGACACAACCGTAAGACCTGAAATAAGCCCCAGGGTCTTATTTCGCAAAAAATATGTTAAGGGGCTTATTTGATGAGGGGGGAGGGGGCCTTACTCGAGGGTGGAGACTTATTTGTTGACAGCAAGAAACACTACCAGCTCTGATGGCTATTATGCTAAAAATGGGCTCAAAACAAAAGAGAGTGACGGGATGTATTGATTTTAAGGCAACATCTCAGCCTGAGTATGGTTAAAAAAATGCAAGGAAACACTAAGATTGTGTTAAATTGAGCAATGAGTCGAGTTACAAGGTGGATAAATGAGAAATATAGTGATATAAAGATTGCTATCAGCATGAATTGAGCCTCCATAGGGGCCTTTTCGAGGGTGGGGGCTTAATCAAGGACTTACAGTAATTAGGAGGTCTCTTACAAATATCTTTAAAAATTGGTTATAAACGTAAATGGAAATGTTTAATGAAATGTTTACGACCAAAGTCAATTCATTTTTCATAAAATTCCAGATTCTTCAGTGAAAATCTTTTTAATAAAATCTCTTCTTTTGTACAGCTCCTGATCTGGTTGTTAATTTCGCCGGTCTTTCTTCTGCAAAAATTCACATATGACTGGACGAGGATCAAAATATGCAGTTCTTTTTCCATTTAACGATATGTGCATTGTACTGTTGATCGTTTGTTGTTTTAAACTAGCTCATTACGACGTTTTTATGTCGTTGTAGGGTGACACTGCAAGCTTTGTTGCAATACTGTGAGGAAAAAGTGCCAAAAACATTTTCAGGAGGCCAGTACTTGCCTGGGTCATCTTCCTTAGCTTGAGAGCATAGCTTGTTCCACAATTATTTACAGAAATGTGATTGATCTTTTTTAATTATTGCCACGATTGACTGACAGCAGATACAAATTGACTAACTTGATCTTCGCCAAACATTTGAGATCCCCAGCAGCTTTAATTAACTCTTTGGGGGACTTTGCTTCCATAAATTTAATTAAATAATTGATTGTATCATTTTCTTCTACAACCATTCGTTGATCAAGGAAATTTTTCGCACAATTTCTCTTCTTATTGCACCTTTGTCTCTACTTCTGGATGTCACAAATCTATGGGCATTTGCAGTTTGGCAGACATTAGTTTCATCACCATTGATGACCGCTTGACATCCCTCATGTTAGTCCTCTTCTTTTCCCCCAGGAAATGGAATTTCTGTAATGGCACTATCTTTACCACTGATTATATCTGGGATTATCAAATTTTATTTTTGAAACAGCAACTTCAATCTTTTGAAGATGTTGCAAAGATCATACATGACAGCAGTAAGCCACAACTTTTCCCTTTTTCTAAGAAATCTCTCTGTTGGAATTGTTCCATCACACATCTCTGTCCAAACATTTATTGCTGCTTCCAGTTTCTGAAGGACAGCTTTAAGTACATTAAGGGTATGTTATGCAAACCGAACTTCAAAGTGCTTTGGGAAAAAGAGACAGTTTTCGTTCTCTTTATGAAGTAGCTTTGTTCTTTGAGGAAATGAGCGAAAAAATGAAATAACAGCCAGGATATTTGTCATCCAGAGAGCAGGTTCAGGTACGTTGGACTGTACGGATTCTATGTCAGACCTGTGGCAAACACACCACACAGTCACAATCCTTGCTCTTGCCAGTTTTTGCAGCATCTCCATATGTTGTTACCCCAACCAACTTCTCTGTGCCGATACTTAGATCATTCATACACTGTACAAAGCAGTCCAGAAGACCATCTGCACCATCAAGTTCACTGCTGGCAATGCCAAGGAAAATTGTTCTTACACTTACTTTAACTGTTGGAACAAATCATGCTGTGATGAACGAGGAGTTAACTTGCTGTTTATCAGTACTTCTATCAATCTGTATACAAAAGCACAGACACTGCTTCAAAACTTGACTGATGTTTTGCTATTCTGAAGATGCCACAAACTCTGTCATTTCTGCATAAACTAGAGGTTCTTTGTAATGAAAAGCAGATGCGCATGGGCTAAATGGAACAAATTCTCATTCCCATCCTTCTTTTTCAAACTGGCGAATCAAGCCATCACTGAACTCTGATGAAAGAGACCTTTAAGGCTAACTTGGCCTATTGGTTTACTAGTAGGCCTAGGCCCAGAAGTTGCTCTGGCATTGAACATATAAACAGTTTACTTCTGGCCTGGAGCAGCTCTTACTTTCACAACGCTTTTTATGACCACTCTTCTCCCTTTGCTTCATTTTGAGCTGGTATTTTGACTGATACTGCATAAACCCCGATTTGTGAAAGTCACAGTGGAAAAAATTCTGAGAAAAATGTCGGACTTGTTGTCGTTTGTTGTGATCACTCTGGTTGTGATTGAAATTGTTGTTGCTGCTGTGATAAAGTTGAAATGAATTGGATCGTGACAATGTCAAATCAGAAAACTGGATACCAGGAACCAGGGCTAGGTGGTTTTGTTTGAACAAATAGATAAAAAAGAGAATAATCTGTAATTATTCGTCAATTAATTATTGTGCACAGATTTGTTACCAACCTTTTGGAACACTGGTTACTTTACCTTTTGGAACACTAATCTGTAAGGGCCACAAACTGGCCGACATTTGGGGCAAATGTAGCATTCTTCTCTTCAGTGGTGGGGGATCTCGTAGGGCCTGGTTGGGCAATTCCCCCACCACTCAGTATGTCAAAAAATGCCCTGTTCCTCATTGTCAATTCCCCATCTTGTTGCAGCAGTTTAAAAAACTTCATCATCTGCGGGTAACAAATTGCCTTAATTAGGCTGAGAAATGGTTTGTCACAAGGTGTTGATGCAGCAGCTTTGATCTTTGATGCTGTAATCCTGCCAGCTCTGAAGGAAAACCAAGCTTTGAAAGCTGTCTGATCCCTTGTCTCTTTTTCCACTGCCTTTAATTGATCATCTGTAACTCTGGTTCTATCAGCTTCAAGTTTACACCTCTGTAATAGATCTTCAAACAACAATGTTTCAGCATTGGGATCATAAATCTCAGTAAGAAGAGATGGGAATTGCTTTCAATTGTTCCAGGAGTATACCCATCAGAAAAGAGTGAATGAACAGATAAAAATGCTTTGCTTTGGAAATTTCTTCCAGAAACTTTGAAAAATTTCCATTACTTGCTTTATAAGTAGTTTTCAACTGATCTTTTGGTGCTTGATCTCGACCAGATGGTTCATTGCCATTTTCAATCTCCCTTTCAAGTCTTTTTTTCAAGCTGTTTGCAGATGTGAAATTGATTTTTTTGATAGGGGCATACTTAACTTGAGATTTAGCTGAAGGTAATTTCCAGTAAGCAGCTACTCCTGCCACTGTTTGCTTTTCATGAATTCGAACAGCAGCTTCCACGTAAAACTTGTAGAGGCAACGTGAGAACATGTTTCTCCAAGCCCAGCCATACATGTACAATGGCCAGCAACATCGGCTCCATCCTCTGTAGAAATGAAGCAGGGCTTAACTGGTGCTTCGCTTAATCATTGGCTGTGGTTCCCTTCGCTCGTACAACATAGTATGAAATCTGCCTACTGTCAACACAATCAATCTTAAACACCTCAACTTTACGGACCCAACCAGAAAGGAAACGATTGTATGGGCCTAGAGTTTTGTAGTTTTTAAAATCTTGCATTGAGTAGCATCGGTTTCAGCCAAGGACGAGGTAGTTCAGCATATCAATGTATGTTAGCAAAGGAAATCCAGCAGGCACGCTCTTCCACAAGGAGGCGGGTATCGAATAAGGATCTTGCCCTCCAATAACTGCTGTTTTTCAGCATAACGTTTCTTAGCTTCTTGGCTCATGGTTTTGACGTATTTTGCCATCTCTGCGTAAAATTCCTCCCTTTCGAGGAGGTCTACCAACATGGCCGCCACTACGACCGCAATGTATTGTTGTCCAAATCGCAAAAAGTTTTATAGAGGGAATTTGGTATCAACTCAATATGATATTTGAAATGGAAGGGAGCGTAGAATAAAATAATTTTTGTTGGGAAAAATATGGTAGAAATTTTCTAGTGTACCATCAGTTGTATCTAATTCTTGTTCTTTGTTCACCGTACTGATTATCTATTTCTTTACCGCCGTTTCTGTTGCTTCTTACGCTACAATTCGGCGTTTTATATACTTTAATCTACACAAACTAAATATGGCTATATTGCAGCCGCTTAGCAGTTGAATTGTGCATTTTATGATTGTTGGGAACTTTCTGCTGCGCAGCCTCATATTCCCACGGGGGCCTAAAGAACAAGTGGCAGTGAAGACGGTACTTGTATGGGTCTTTTCAGGACCAGTTTCAGGTAAGAGTGGCAAACTTGATTCTGATACTCTTGTTTCCCTTGTTATTGAGCCTACTCCTTTAAGTAGCAAGGACATGCTAGATGTGAACAAAAGTATTCATAGATTTTGGGATTTGGAAACTGTTGGGGTAAGAATTGATGATGATGTACATCAGAAAGCTATAAATGACATACACTTTAATGGGGAACGTTATTCTGTAGGCCATGTAGCAGGGCTAGAAAACCCTGCAGATTTAGGATCTAGAGGTGTTTTAGGTACTGAGCTGAAGAATGACAGACTTTGGTGGGAAGGTCCCAAATGGTTGATAGTTGGTGTAGAGAGTTCACCTAATGTTTACTATGTTGAAGAATCTTCAGAAGTGATTGAAGAAAGAAAGAAGAATGTAGTTGTAATGTCTGTATCAGATGAGCCTATGGGGTTGAGTGAAGTAATTGATATTAATCGGTATGGCACTTTGCTGAGTGTCGCATCATACATGTACAGGTTTATCAGCAATTTGAGGAGGAAAAAAGCCAGGAAAAAAATCAGGAATGGAAAAGGAAGGAAAAGAAAATAATGAGAATGAAGTGAAAATTGAAGTACGGAGTAAGAGAGGGGCAAATATACATCCTCAGCGCACAGCAGTTAGCAATGCACGCACCAAGATGAAACTCATGCTTGATCCATAGTGGATCAAGAAGGGGGGAATGTTGGGGAACTTCGCGCTGCGCAGACTCATATTCCCACGAACGCATCACAATAGGTGATATTCTTGTTGTTGTTTTTTAGCACTAATGACTAATCTGTTAAGCTTGTCACTTCGTCTTGAGATTGATTAATATGATGAGAAATTGAAGATTGATGTAATTTTCTGCTCAATATTCTGGAGAACCAGCACTAGATTTAATGTTTTCATAACATAAAATGGTGCACCAAGCGGAGCCGGGTTGTTGATAATCATGGATGAAGAAAGAGTGAATACGGCAAAGAAAGAGCGAAGAACGATACGAAGTTTAGCGACGAAGTTGGTTAACAAAGTTAAAGAGTGTTTGGATGATGCGAGTGACGGGGTTGACGATCGCAAATTACGACAGTTTCGAGCTGCATTGAAAGAAACGTCAATAATTTTGAAGGAATTGGACAAAGAAATTTTAAACTATCTGTACACAACAGATACGGAGGATGAGATTTGCGAGAACGAAGCAGAACAGGCCAGCGAAATCCAGGAAAAGATCGATTACCAATTGATTTGTGTCGAAGACATGTTGAAAGAAATGAAGGATGACAAATTGTCTGTTAATTCAAGTTCAAAATCTCACTCAGCTTCGAGGGAAAGTATTGTGCCGATCGCATTAAATGACGATGGCCACTCGAATGAGCTAGAACTCCAGCACTCGAAGAGTTGGAACGATCGCACTGTCATAGTGAAGTTACGTAAATTGCAAATGCGGAATTTAGTGGGAAAGTACAGGACTGGCAAGAATTCTGGGATTCCTTTAAGAGCGTTATACATGAGGACCCTGGTCTTGCTAAAATTGATAAGTTCAAATATCTGTGGAGTTTCTTGGATGAGCCGGCCAGAAGAGTGATATCGGGTCTCGCATTAACTATGCGAGACCAGTTAATGCGAGGCAACTATTTTGAAAGGAAGAAATGTGGCTTTTGAATCTAGCATTCTTTTTCATATAATGCACGCGCTGAGTATGATTCAGCAGTGGAGTTGTTAAAGAAGAGATTTGCTAAGCCAACTTTAATAAAGAGAGCAGATTACCTCATGATAAATTTAGCCCCCGTGTACAACAAGCGAAATGTTGGCAGATTATGTCATTTCTTGGATGACATCGAGACTCATTTCCGTGGACTTGAGGCCCTTGGTGTTGACAAGGAGAGTTATTTGTCAATCGTTGTTCCCGTCTTGATGGACAAACTTCCAGAAGGAATACGGATAAACATGATTAGATTTGGTGGTGATTATCTTAACTGGGGACTAGATGAAATGATGGAGGCTTTAGCCAAGGAGGGGGAGATGCGGGAGAGCCACTTTTCGGTTTTTCGACCACAACCGTCTCAGTCGCAAGTGTCTACGCCTAGGCCAATTGAAGATCCGCATAAAGAGAAGATTGTAACAGCAAGCAGCCTGTTTACTCAGGAGCCAGTGGGCAAGAGATGCGCATTCTGTTACGAAAACCATTCTGCGGAAGATTGTGTTAATGTTAAGGGACTAAATGAACGTAAAAATTTGTTGTCTAGAGATGCAAGATGTTTTCTGTGCTTGAGTAAGGGGCACAGGGTATTTCAATGCTGTAGTATGGTAAATTGCAAATATTGTAAGGGTAAACATCATTTTTTGATATGCACTACCAGGCAATGTAAGCCCTTGGGCACTGTAAGGTCCAACGCAAGCGCACGTAAGGAAGTTCAGCAGCCTCAAGCTAGTACATGCGAGCATCCAGTCATAGGAGGGGGGCCTAAAGAACCAGTGGCAGTGAAGACGGTACTTGGATGGGTGTTGTCAGGACCAGTTTCAGGTAAGAGTGACAATTTTAATTCTGATACTCTTGTTTCCCTTGTTATTGAGCCTACTCCTTTAAGTAGCAAGGACATGCTAGATGTGAACAAAAGTATTCATAGATTTTGGGATTTGGAAACTGTTGGGGTAAGAATTGATGATGATGTACATCAGAAAGCTATAAATGACATACCCTTTAATGGGGAACGTTATTCTGTAGGCCATGTAGCAGGGCTAGAAAACCCTGCAGATTTAGGATCTAGAGGTGTTTTAGGTACTGTTTTAGGAGTGTAGAGTGTAGAGTGTAGACGTAGAACGTAAAACAGAGATTGATTAATACAATGAGAAATTGAAGATTGATGTAATTTTTCTGTTCAATATTCTGGAGAACTAGATTTAATGTTTTCATAACAATGATACAAGCATGAAATTTGGTACAACAACAAAGTTTGACAAGCTGATTAAGATCAGATGCAGACCCACTTTAAAAATGCCCCCAAAAGCTATTTTTAGATTGGGGTACCTATACCCAGTCCTTTTTGGCCTTTCTCCATATCTTTTAAACTATGCAAGATATAAATCTGAAATTTAGTTTTCTGACGTAAATTTAAATGCTAAAAAAGATGAAATGCAGGCCCCACTTCAAAAATGCACTGAAAAGATTTTTTAGGTTGGGGTTCCTGTAACCAGTCCTTTAAAAACTTCAGGACTCCAAGCAACAAGTCCCTTGAAGGGTCGCTTATTTCACATGCTGCTAAGTTTCATGAATCATGTAGAAATAGT